CTACGACTTCAAGGGTGATGGACTGATAACATCGTTTTCAAATCTCTACTGTTCCTGCCTACTTTCTGTACTCGACTGAAGAAGCCTACTGTGTAGGCGAAACGTTTCGGAATAAAGTTGCCTAAATGTTGCCTATGTGTCTTATCTACCAACCTGTCCGTATTGTATATTGATAATCACTCAGGAATAAAAGGCATTAGGTAAATGTGGTTAAAATACTTAGCTTTGTGGCTAAAGCTCCCACTTCACACACGGAGGGTCCGGGTTCGATTCCCGGCGGGTGGAAACATTTCGACCCGTTTCCTTACACCTGTTGTCCTGATCACCTAACAGTAAATAGGTACCTGGGTGTTAGTCGACTGGTGTGGGTCGCATCCTGGGGGACAAGATTGACGACCACAATGGAAGTAAGTTAGACAGTCCTCGATGACGCACTGACTTTTTTGGGTTACCCTGGGTGACTAACCCTCCAGGGTTAAAAATCCGAAGAAATTCTTATCTTATCTCTTATCTTATGAAAAATTCGGTTTCAGATGAGCAGGTTGATGTGAAGCGAATCTGCTCAGCAACTGCGATTATTACAATGAGTGTTTTAATTAGTAAGATTTGTTATGTCTTTTTATAAGGTTCATATGTAATTAGCATAATTTTCAAGATTTGTTATGCGTTTTTATAAGGTTCATGATGTCTAGGTGTAGTAGGTAGATCCTAGTTTAGGGCAGAGCAATGAACTAGGAGCAGTGAACTAGGAGCAGTGAACTAGGAGCAGTGAACTAGGAGCAGTGAAGTAGGAGCAGTGTACTAGGAGCAGTGAAGTAGGAGTACTGAACTAGGAGCACTGAACTAGGAGCAGTGAACTAGGAGCAGTGAACTAGTAGTGAACTAGGAGCAGTGAACTAGGAGCAGTGAACTAGGAGCAGTGAACTAGGAGCAGTGAACTAGGAGCAGTGAACTAGGAGCACTGAACTAGGAGCACCTCTCCGTTAGGTACCTAAGGACATGTCTTCAAGAGCGTAGTGCCAGTCAGCTTACAATATTTTCCTGCACTTCTACCGATCATAAAATAATGGAAATGAGGTGAGAGCTGGTGTCTGTGATGTAATATAACTTGCTATGTATCAGCATGTGTAAATTTGAATTATATAATAATTATGTGTTAAAATGTGATGCTGATTTGACCCTTCGAGAAATTTCGAGTGAGGGGGGGAGGGGAGAGGCAGAACAGCCGGAGAGTGACGCCGCGGAGGGACGCAATTTGTAATTTGAGATTTTCATTCCTTAATGTTGTCGTTCAGTTATTATTGAGATTATTAGTTTTATTTCCAGAATCACTGAAATGAGCAACTTCGTCATTCTTTTTTTGTACCTATTTTTTTTTTCAGACTAGGCAGTGTAATTCCTTAACACGTTATGGTTCTTGTGTAGCTTAGTGCTGTTTGAGGCACCGGCGACTGATGGTTCGAAACTTTAAACTGTCTGGGAATCTGCAAAGCGATAAGCTTTGCAGATTCCCAGACAGTCCTTCTATTATTATTATTATTAAAACAAAGCGCTAAACCTACTAGGGTCATAAAGCATCAGCCCTTCTAGGTACACAAACTAGTGTACATAATTGTGGTTCATTGTATCACTTATGATGGTACAGGTTAGCATCTGAGGAGGGCTAGTAACCTCTCGTTCACTTCATCTGTCAGGAAATAATGATTTTGCGGCTGATGGATCAATTGTTTTTGTATTCCTAAGAGATTATGACCTTTTTTTTTTGCCATTGATCCGTATAATAATTATTAGAGTTACTCATATAATGTCATTGATTAATATTTTTCTGTATCTAGATTTAGTTCTTTAATTGTTATGAGTAAGATTAGATTTACAAGAGTAACGGGAAAAACAATAAAAAACATTGATGGGAAAAAAAGTTTGTCTGGGGGTCCCACAAGGATCAGTACTGTCACTGATTTTCTTTCCCTCTTTTTTTACAGAGTTTTACAAGGTCGGGTTAAGGCTCCTAACTTTATTTAAGAGCTGTTACTTACATCAGCTCATTTGAATGCCTTTTCATTGTTATGAGACATACAAATAGGGAACAAGATGAAGTTGAAGACATCTGTGGGCCAGAGATTTAATTTGGCCAACTGACTTGATTTCGTTGATGTCATTACGTTGCACGAACTTGTTCCAGACTTATGTCCTCCCAGGAATAAATGGTCTCTCTCTCTCTTTCTCTCTCTCTCTCTCTCTCTCTCTCTCTCTCTCTCTCTCTCTCTCTCTCTCTCTCTCTCTTTCTCGCTCGCTCGCTCGCAGCAATATGCTGACGTGTCCAAACTTCATCACAAAGGAGAGTAACCTTAGCGTTATATACACTTCCCCAGCTGAGTGTCCACCAGGCTGGAGCTTCTGGGGTGGTCACTGTTACTACTTCTCTAACACCTACCTGACCTGGGAGGATAGCAACGACTGGTGTCAAGACAACCTGGCCAGCAGCCTCATATCTATCGAAAACGAGGAGGAAAACTCCTTTGTTCTGGGTGAGTATGGGATGAGTGAATTGAAGAGTGAGAAGTAACTTAAGAACAGTGAGTAGTGTGAGGCAGTAACTTACTAACAGTAAGTAGTGTGAGGCAGTAACTTACTAACAGTGAGTAGTGTGAGGCAGTAACTTACTAACAGTAAGTAGTATGAGGCAGTAACTTACTAACAGTAAGTAGTGTGAGGCAGTAACTTACTAACAGTAAGTAGTATGAGGCAGTAACTTACTAACAGTAAGTAGTGTGAGGCAGTAACTTACTAACAGTAAGTAGTATGAGGCAGTAACTTACTAACAGTAAGTAGTGTGAGGCAGTAACTTACTAACAGTAAGTAGTATGAGGCAGTAACTTACTAACAGTAAGTAGTATGAGGCAGTAACTTAATAACAGTAAGTAGTATGAGGCAGTAACTTACTAACAGTAAGTAGTATGAGGCAGTAACTTACTAACAGTAAGTAGTATAAGGCAGTAACTTACTAGTGTGCAGTTTGTGGGTCAATAAGAGAAGTATAAACCAGCTAGACATGTATTTGTGTTTTATTTGCTGTTTCTATGTTTATTCAGTGCTTATAATGTTAAGTTTATAATTACTACTTAAAGTAATATACATTTATCGTCTATAATTGCGATAGTGTCTATAACTTTGGTTGTAATATATTTTTTCTATATTTACCATTATTATTTTCTAGCTGGATAGGTTTGTATATGCAAATTGCATATGCAAATTGCATATGCAAATTGTTTGAGAGGTTGACGGAGCTGTGGAGGCGCTGTTGTCTAATAATTGGTCGCATAGTAATTGGTATACATGGCTTAATTCTTGGTAAAATGTTGGTGGGGGCCTTCCTTTACCTGCCATCTGCCTGCCCTCCCTCAGACCAGTGGTAATCTAACACCCGCGTCAGGAAACACTTGTCCTGTTTCCTGATGAACAGTACCTAACCTAACCTGTTGGTCTGTTGGTGTCGCTGCTGACGGGGGAAAACGACACAAGCCTTGTCGTGTCTCAGTTAACATTACATCGCACACAAACACCTTTCTTACAATGTCATTTTTCCAGATTCCAATGTTTGCATTGTCTTATATCTGCAATTTATGCTCTTGATGTTTAAGACACATGTGCAACAGTTGGGTATCTGTTTTGTCGGAACGTTTCGCCCACAATAAAGTTACCCAACTGTTACACATGTGTCTGAATCATCAACTTGTCGGTGTTTCATACCATTTTCAACATAACTTATGCCCTTATTGTGAACTGTGTCGTTATATTTGGACACTGTTAACAGCAGTTACGAGGATGGGGCTTCGCTGTGAATTTCATTCGGGGTATCCATAAAGCCTGACCCATCGGGCTCCAGGAGTAGGTAGAAAGACTCTCGAAACCCATCAAAGGTATATACTACTTTAATTATCCATCTTCATAACTATATCAACCCTGAGTTATGTGTAAATTAACTAATTATTATTTTGGGATAAACGCTGTGGAGCGACTAGACTTGATCTTGTGAAACATGTGTTTATGTAAACATAACACCTGGAGCACCTGGAGCACCTGGAGCACCTGGAGCACCTGGAGCATGGAAAGTATTTTGGAATTCACTCTAACTCGTTCTTGTTCTGCTCAGGTTATTGTGCGAAATAGTTGTGGATTGTTCCATCCAGGGTGTTGTGTTTCAGTTCGTGAATTGTTCCATCCAGGATGTTGTGTTTCAGTTCGTGAATTGTTCCATCCTCAGAAATGTGACTTATTTGTTCTTTGTCTCATATACTAACATGAAAATGCTCTTCTCGTAAGTTTTCACATTGATAAATATCATTATCATTACTGAAAACATTAATAAAGAAAAGAGGTACAGCAGAGAAAACTTTAGCTGCGATAAAATTTCTCTTTATCAAGTCAATAGACTTGATAAAACGAAACTGTAGCAGTGAAAGCTTACCCGGTAACTCTTGTTATTTCTTTTCTTTCCCCACCACCTGCAGGGGAGGTGCAGCAGGGAGGAATGGAGGTGTGGTTGGGGATGATGATGGGAGAGTTTGGTACGTGGAGTTGGGTGGATGGATCACCCATGAATTATACCCACTGGGTAGGTGACCACCCGCCTACTAATACCGACTCTAACACCTGTGTCAAGGTGAGTTACCCCCTGCGCTTGTCATTCTTGCTGTTATTGTGGATTGTTATTGTTGTGATTGTTATGGTTGAGGGGTTGTTATTGTTATGGATATTATGGTTGTTTTTGCTGTTATTCTTCCTGGTGCCTCAACTGGCAACAATACTTAGTAATCCTGGCATTACTTGCAAATTTAAGCATAGTCCTAGGTGATCCTTGTTACATACGTCAGTAATATAACAATTACTAATAAGGTGTCAGCTACAGTGATGATCATCACTTCTTTTACAGGTTGATGTTATAATGTAGAGTGACTTAATGGATGAGACTCATTATTCTCAACAGATGGTAGTAAAAAAACTCAGACTCTGACGGTCGATGGGGTGCACAGTCGTGCCGCAGCATCCTGCACTACGTCTGCAAGATGCCACTCAGTAAGTTATCCTCCATACTCCTCACGAGGATAAATGAACATACTCATTACACCGTGACGAGAAACATTCACTTAAAATATACCCAAAGTGGTGAGGCCTCTTAATTCAGTTTTTTGACCTGTCTATCTTACCTACGCACAGCCATGATCATTGGGCTAACCTAACCACTCCCTTCCATTCTTATTTTTGTCAGTGCTTGCCGAAAAGAACCTTGCACAATACACTGCCCTTATTGATAATGTATCTTCATTTTTCCTCGCTTCCGCAGTCCCTCTCCTCACTCTTATTGACAAATACAAATGGTGTTTGAGTTGGAGGTGCCTAATAACCTCTAACAGAGGTACCTTACGTAATTATTAGTTTAATCTCAGAGCTACAAACAGAACAAATGGCCACAAGGGCCATATGGGAGTTTTACCAGGGTAATGTGACAAAAACCTGACTGACTTGAGAGAGAGAGAGAGAGAGAGAGAGAAAGAGAGAGAGAGAGAGAGAGAGAGAGAGAGAGAGAGAGAGAGAGAGAGAGAGAGAGAGAGAGAGAGAGAGAGAGAGAGAGAGAGAGAGAGAGAGAGAGAGAGAGAGAGAGAGAGAGAGAGAGAGATGAGGGAGAGAGAGAAGGCTGGTTGAAATCTAGTGCTTCCGATGGAGAATAGTACCAGGGACTCTTGGCAAAATTGCAAGCAATAAGAGTCGGGGAGGGGGGGGGGGAACGCCACCCACATGCTCACAAATTTTAGGACTTTTAAAAAAACTATATTCTTCTCAACCTATTTCGTATGTTTATCTTAAAATATACATACGTGCTAAAATTGGTTTCGTTACTGCTATTAAAGTTTTGACGATGTGGATGATTTACGTCACGTGAGGGAACAAGTATGTAAACTTTAAGACATCTAGTATGCAGACTTTAAGGGATCTAGTATGCAGACTTTAAAGGATCTAGTATGCAGACTTTAAGGTATCTAGTATGCAGACTTTAAAGGATCTAGTATGCAGACTTTAAGGTATCTAGTATGCAGACTTTAAAGGATCTAGTATGCAGACTTTAAGGGATCTAGTATGCAGACTTTAAGGGATCTAGTATGCAGACTTTAAGGGATCTAGTATGCAGACCTTAATGTATCTAGTATGCAGACTTTAAGGTATCTAGTATGCAGACTTTAAAGGATCTAGTATGCAGACTTTAAGGGGTCTAGTATGCAGACTTTAAGGGATCTAGTATGCAGACTTTAAGGGATCTAGTATGCAGACTTTAATGTATCTAGTATGCAGACTTTAAGGTATCTAGTATGCAGACTTTAAGGGATCTAGTATGCAGACTTTAAGGGATCTAGTATGCAGACTTTAAGGGATCTAGTATGCAGACTTTAAGGTATCTAGTATGCAGACTTTAAGGTATCTAGTATGCAGACTTTAAGGGATCTAGTATGCAGACTTTAAGGTATCTAGTATGCAGACTTTAAGGTATCTAGTATGCAGACTTTAAGGGATCTGGTATGCAGACTTTAAGGGATCTAGTATGCAGACTTTAAGGGATCTAGTATGCAGCCCTTAAGGTATCTAGTATGCAGACTTTAAGGGATCTAGTATGCAGACTTTAAGGGATCTAGTATGCAGACTCTAAGGGGTCTAGTATGCAGACTTTAAGGGATCTAGTATGCAGACTTTAAGGGATCTAGTATGCAGACATTAATGTATCTAGTATACAGGCTTTAAGGTATCTAGTATGCAGACTTTAAGGGATCTAGTATGCAGACTTTAAGGGATCTAGTAAGCAGACTTTAAGGGATCTAGTATGCAGACTTTAAGATATCTAGTATGCAGACTTTAAAGGATCTAGTATGCAGACTCTAAGGGGTCTAGTATGCAGACTTTAAGGTATCTAGTATGCAGACTTTAAGGGATCTAGTATGCAGACTTTAAGGTATCTAGTATGCAACTTTAAGGATCTAGTATGCAGACTTTAAGGGATCTAGTATGCAACTTTAAGGGATCTAGTATCAGACTTTAAGGGATCTAGTATGTAGACTTTAAGGTATCCTAGTATGCAGAGAGAGAGAGAGAGAGAGAGAGAGAGAAAGAGAGGAGAGGAGAGAGAGAGAGAGAGAGAGAGAGAGAGAGAGAGAGAGAGAGAGAGAGAGAGAGAGAGAGAGAGAGAGAGAGAGAGAGAGAGAGAGAGAGAAGAGAGAGAGAGAGAGAGAGAGATGAGGGAGAGAGGAGAAGGCTGGTTGAAATCTAGTGCTTCCGATGGAGAATAGTACCAGGGACTCTTGGCAAAATTGCAAGCAATAAGAGTCGGGAGGGGGGGGGGGGAAACGCCACCCATATGCTCACAAATTTTAGGACTTTAAAAAAAAACTATATTCTTCTCAACCTATTTCGTATGTTTATCTTAAAATATACATACGTGCTAAAATTGGTTTCGTTACTGCTATTAAAGTTTTGACGATGTGGATGATTTACGTCACGTGAGGGAACAAGTATGTAAACTTTAAGACATCTAGTATGCAGACTTTAAAGGATCTAGTATGCAGACTTTAAAGGATCTAGTATGCAGACTTTAAGGTATCCAGTATGCAGACTTTAAAGGATCTAGTATGCAGACTTTAAGGTATCTAGTATGCAGACTTTAAAGGATCTAGTATGCAGACTTAAGGGATCTAGTATCAGACTTTAAGGGATCTAGTAGCAGACTTTAAGGGATCTAGTATGCAGACCTTAAGTATCTAGTATGCAGACTTTAAGGTATCTAGTATGCAGACTTTAAAGGATCTAGTATGCAGACTTTAAGGGGTCTAGTATGCAGACTTTAAGGGATCTAGTAGCAGACTTTAAGGGATCTAGTATGCAGACTTTAATGTAACTATATCAACTTTAAGTATCTAGTAAAGCAGACTTTAAGGGATCTAGTATGCAGACTTAAGGGATCTAGTATGCAGACTTTAAAGGGATCTAGTAGTAGCAACTTTAAGGTAATCTAGTATGCAGACTTTAAAGGTAACTAGTATGCAGACTTTAAAGGGATCTAGTATGCAGACTTTAAGTATCTAGTATGCAGACTTTAAGGTATCTAGTATGCAGACTTTAAGGATTGGTATGCAGACTTTAAGGGATCTAGTATGCAGACTTTAAGGGATCTAGTATGGCAGCCCTTAAAGGGATCTAGTATGCAGACTTTAAGGGATCTAGTATGCAGACTTTAAGGGATCTAGTATGCAGACTCTAAGGGGTCTAGTATGCAGACTTTAAGGGATCTAGTATGCAGACTTTAAGGGAATCTAGTATGCAGACATTAATGTATCTAGTTATACAGGCTTTAAGGTATCTAGTATGGCAGACTTTAAGGGATCTAGTATGCAGACTTTAAGGGATCTAGTAAGCAGACTTTAAGGGATCTAGTATGCAGACTTTAAGATATCTAGTATGCAGACTTTAAAGGATCTAAATATGCAGACTCATAAGGGGTCTAGTATGCAGACTTTAAGGTATCTAGTATGCAGACTTTAATGGGATCTAGTATGCAGACTTTAAGGTATCTAGTATGCAGACATTAAGGGATCTAGTATTGCAGACTTTAAGGGATCTAGTATGCAGACTTTAAGGGATCTAGTATGCAGACTTTAAGGGATCTAGTAAGTAACTTTTAAGGTATCTAGTATGCAGACTTTAAGGTATCTAGTATGCAACTTTTAAGGGATCTAGTATGCAGACTTTAAGGTTTCTATCTAGCAAAGCAGACTTTAAGGGATCTGGTATGCAGACTTTAAAGGGATCTAGTATGCAGACTTTAAGGGAAACAGTATGCAGACTTTAAGGTAATCTAGTATGCAGGGCTTTAAGGGATCCTAGTATGCAGACTTTAAAGGGATCTGTATGCAGACTTTAAGAGGTAAATCTAGTATGCAAAACTTTAAGGGATCTAGTATGCAAACTTTAAGGGATCTAGTATGCAGACTTAAGGGATCTAGTATGCAGACTTTAAGTATCTAGTATGCAGACTTTAAGGGATCTAGTAGCAGGGCTTTTAAGGGATCTAGTATGCAGACTTTAAAGGTATCTATATGCAAGACTTTAAGGGATCTAGTATGCAACTTTAAAGGTATCTAGTAGCAGAACTTTAAGGTATCAAGTATGCAGACTTTAAAGGCTTTAGTATGCAGACTTTTTAAGGATCTAGTATGCACACTTAAGGTATCTAGTATGCAGACTTTAAGGGAATCTGGTATGCAGACTTTAAGGGATCTAGTATGCCAGACTTTAAGGGATCTAGTATGCAGACTTTAAGGTATCTAGTATGCAGACTTTAAGGAATCTAAGTATGCAGACTTTAAGGGATCTGGTATGCAGACTTAAGGATCTAGTATGCGACTTAAGGGTTCTAGTAATGCAGGACTTTAAAGGTTTCTGTATGCAGACTTTAAGGAATCTAGTAAAGCAGACTTTAAGGGATCTAAATATGGCAGACTTTAAGGATCTAGTATGCAGACTTTAAGGAATCTATAATGCAGACTTTAACGGATCTTAGTATGCAGACATTAAAGGGATTAAGATGCAGACCCTTAGGATCTAGTAAGCAACATTAAGGGATTCTAGTATGCAGACTTAAGTGTAAACAAGTATGCAGACTAAGGGTCTAGTATTGCAACTTCTAAGGGATCTAGTAAAAGCAGACTTTAAGGAATCTAGTATGGCCAGACCTTTAAGGGATCTAGTATGCAGACTTTAAGGGATCTAGTATGCAGACTTTAAGGATCTACTATCAGACTTAAGGGATCAGTAACAGACTTTAAGGGATCTAGACAGATATAAGGATCTAGTATCAAAACTTTAAGGAATCTAAGTATCCAGACTTAAGGATCTAGTATTGCAGACTTTAAGGATCTAGTATGGAACTTAAGGGATCTGTATGCAGACTTTAAAGGAACTAGTATCAACTTTAAGGGATCAGTATGGCAGACTTTAAGGGATCTAGTTGCAGACTTAAGGGATTCAGTATGCATACTTTAAAGGAATCAGTATGCAGACTATAAGGGACTAGTATGCAGACCTTTAAGGGATCTGTATGCAGACTTTAAGGGTGAAATCTAGTATGCAGCTTAAGGAGATCTATTATTGCAGCTTTAAGGGATCTAGAATGCAGTACTATGAAGGTATCATAGTATTGCAGACTTTAAGGAACTCTATATGCAGACTTTAAGGGATCTAGTATGCGACTTTAAGGGATAGTAAAGCAGACTTTAAGGATCTCATATGCCCGACTTTTAAGGATCTAGTTGCAGACTTTAAGGATCTAGTATGCAGACTTTAAGGGATTAGTATGCAGACTTTAGGGTCTAGTATGCAACTTAAGGAATCTAGTATGCAGACTTAAGGATTAGTATACAGACTTAAAGGAACAAGTATTAATAGTCGAAACGTAGTGGGAGGAAATAAACGATTTTCGTTCAAAAACAGTTACACACTGACAAAAGGTATAAAACTTTTAAGCGTCCTGGTCAGGGCCTGGTCAAGGGACGTGGCCGAGGGCGTTGACCGCTGGACAACGTCATAAATAAAAGGATCATAGATATCCAACTTTACTCACGTAACAACAATTTAGCTGTTTCATACAACACATCAGTATGCAGACTTAATATCTAGTTCGTAGACTTTAAAAATTATATTTCACCCGAGGTAATATAACGTAACTATTGCAGGATTGTGGTCAGGAATTTTCTCGTATTTAGAGAGAAAAGCAACGTTGTACTATGTTACACATTATTGTATATAAAGCAACGATACTGTGTATCAGTGTATCTTAATTAACACATAACCGAAATTTGGAGAGGAAAGTATAAACACAAATTCAGCCAGTCTTGGACTCGAAATATTCTATAAATTTGCTTCCCCAAATTGTGGATTAGCTGTGAATTATTCTTTTTTTAAAACTATGAATTATATCTTATTCTAATTGATTTTTTTATTAATAATAAGTTTTCACAGCATTGAGAAATGATCAAGTTAATCATTTAATAATAGTTTGGGTGATACATGACAGAAACTTGTCCAGAGGAATCCACATACTCTGAGAGGAGATGTTACTACCCGAGCCAGCAGGAGGACACATGGAGCAACTCCCGCAGCAGGTGTAAACAATGGGACGAGGCAGCCGACCTCGTCAGCATCCACTCAGTGGAGGAAAACACTTTCTTTGGTGGTGAGTGATGAGTAACAACAGAGAACAATCTCTGGGTTTATAAAGAACATTTCATACTTCGTTAAAACGAAACAATATATAAAAATGAGAGTGTATGAGAGCGTCGGAGGATCGATCCTTCGTTGATATGTGGTAATTCAATTAACAACATAACAAAAGGCCTAAATAATGGGCAAGGAAGCCTAAGAGAGAGCAGGAAAGTCTACTCAGTGGTAGAAACTCCGTAGTAGTGGGAGCAACAAGTAAGGGCAGATCACATGAGTCATTGTATTTATTATGTACAAGTATTACCACATTATAAGATCTTATAAATAAATAAATGAGTTAATTTTATTTACACCTAATAATGAATGGCTACACGATCCCAGAAATATATCCCCGCATTCCATCAGCTCAGCCCACTCTACCTAAACGCAAACAAAGGGAATATTGCAGCAAACAATAAAATTATGTATACGTGTATATGTATGCTTGTGCATAAATGTACACTATAAGTCGTGCCGAATAGGCAGAACTTGCGATCTTGGCTTAAATAACAACGTTCATCTTGCCATATAGGACAAGTGAAAATTTGTGTATGCAATAATTTCGCCAAAATCATTCTGAACCTAACGAAAAAAATATATTTAACTGTGTTTGTTTAGAATTAAATTATTGTAAACAAATCTAAAATATATTTAGTTGGGTTAGGCTAAAATAAATTGTTCTTGTTATAATAAGGTTAGGTAAGTTTTCTAAGATTCTTTTGGTGCAAAATTTTTACATCAACATGCATGAAAAAATATATCTTTAAACGTATAAGAGAAAATTTTAGAAAGGACGTAATTTTAAATGAGTTCTTGCTAAGTGACCAGTTTTACATATTCGGCACGACATACATACAAAATATATATATATATATATATATATATATATATATATAATATATATATATATATATATATATATATATATATATATATATATATATATAATATATATACACCAAACCTAACCTAACCTAAGCTTACCTAACCTAACCTTACCTAGCCTAACCTAACCCAACCTAACCTAACCTTACCTAACCTAACCTAACCTAACCTAACCTAACCTTACCTAACCTAACCTAACCTAACCTAACCTAACCTAACCTAACCTAACCTTACCTAACCTAAACTAAAGTAACCTTACCTAACCTAAACTAACCTAACCTAACCTAACCTTACCTAACTTAACATAACTTAAACTAACCTAACATAACCTAACCTAACCTTACCTAACCTAACCTAACCTTACCTAACGTAACCTAACCTAACCTAACCTAACCTTACCTAAAGTAACGTAACGTAACGTAACCTAACCTAACCTTACCTTACCTAACTTAACCTAACTTAACCTAACCTAACATAACCTAACCTAACCTTACCTAACCTAACCTAACCTTACCTAAGGTTAGGTTAGGTTAGTGTGTGTGTGTGTGTGTGTGACCAGGCAGCGTATGTGTGTCCAGGCAGTGTATGTGTGTCCAGGCAGTGTATGTGTGTCCAGGCAGTGTATGTGTGACCAGGCAGTGTATGTGACCAGGCAGTGTGTGTGTGTGACCAGGCAGTGTGTGTGTGTGACCAGGCAGTGTGTGTGTGACCAGGCAGTGTATGTGTGTGACCAGGCAGTGTGTGTGTGACCAGGCAGTGTGTGTGTGTGACCAGGCAGTGTGTGTGTGTGACCAGGCAGTGTGTGTGTGTGACCAGGCAGTGTGTGTGTGAGCAGGCAATGTATGTGTGTCCAGGCAGTGTATGTGACCAGGCAGTGTGTGTGTGACCAGGCAGTGTGTGTGTGACCAGGCAGTGTGTGTGTGACCAGGCAGTGTATGTGTGTCCAGGCACTGTATGTGACCAGGCAGTGTGTGTGTGTGACCAGGCAGTGTGTGTGTGACCAGGCAGTGTGTGTGTGACCAGGCAATGTATGTGTGTCCAGGCAGTGTATGCGACCAGGCAGTGTGTGTGTGACCAGGCAGTGTGTGTGTGACCAGGCAGTGTGTGTGTGACCAGGCAGTGTATGTGTGTCCAGGCAGTGTGTCACCAGGCAGTGTGTGTGTGTGTGTGTGTGTGTGTGTGTGTGTGTGTGACCAGGCAGTGTTTGTGTGTCCAGGCAGTGTGTGTGACCAGGCAGTGTGTGTGTGACCAGGCAGTGTGTGTGACCAGGCAGTGTGTGTGTGACCAGGCAGTGTGTGTGTGACCAGGCAGTGTGTGTGACCAGGCAGTGTGTGTGTGACCAGGCAGTGTGTGTGTGACCAGGCAGTGTGTGTGACCAGGCAGTGTGTGTGACCAGGCAGTGTGTGTGTGACCAGGCAGTGTGTGTGTGTGACCAGGCAGTGTGTGTGTGTCCAGGCAGTGTGTGTGTGACCAGGCAGTGTGTGTGTGTGTCCAGGCAGTGTGTGTGTGACCAGGCAGTGTGTGTGTGACCAGGCAGTGTGTGTGTGACCAGGCAGTGTGTGTGTGACCAAGCAGTGTATGTGTAACCAGGCTGTGTGTGTGTGACCAGGCAGTGTGTGTGTGACCAGGCAGTGTATGTGTGACCAGGCAGTGTGTGTGTGACCAGGCAGTGTGTGTGTGACCATGCAGTGTATGTGTGACCAGGCAGTGTGTGTGTGTCCAGGCAGTGTGTGTGTGACCAGGCAGTGTATGTGTGACCAGGCAGTGTATGTGTGACCAGGCAGTGTGTGTGTGACCAGGCAGTGTGTGTGTGACCATGCATTGCATGTGTGACCAGGCAGTGTGTGTGTGTCCAGGCAGTGTATGTGTGACCAGGCAGTGCGTGTGTGTCCAGGCAGTTTATGTGTGACCAGGCAGTGTGTGTGTGTCCAGGCAGTGCAAGTGTGACCAGGCAGTGTGTGTTTGACCAGGCAGTGTGTGTGTGACCAGACAGTGTATGTGTGACCAGGCAGTGTGTTTGTGACCAGGCAGTGTATGTGTGACCAGGCAGTGTGTATGTGTCCAGGCAGTGTGTGTAAGTGTGACCAGGCAGTGCATGTGTGACCAGGTAGTGTGTGTGTGTGACCAGGCAGTGTATGTGTGACCAGGCAGTGTATGTGTGACCAGGCAGTGTGTGTGTGTGACCAATCAGTGTATGTGTGACCAGGCAGCGTGTGTGTGTGTATGTGACTAGGCAGTGTATGTGTGACCAGGCAGTATGTGTTTGACTAGGCAGTGTGTGTATGTGTGACCAAGCAGTGTGTGTGTGACCAGGCAGTGTGTGTGTGTGTGTGTGTGTGACCAGGCAGTGTGTGTACTCACCTAGTTGTACTCACCTAGTTGAGGTTGCGGGGGTCGAGTCCGAGCTCCTGGCCCCGCCTCTTCACTGATCGCTACTAGGTCACTCTCACTGAGCCGTGAGCTTTATCATACCTCTGCTTAAAGCTATGTATGGATCCTGCCTCCACTACATCGCTTTCCAAACTATTCCACTTACTGACTACTCTGTGGCTGAAGAAATACTTCCTAACATCCATGTGATTCATCTGTGTCTTCAGCTTCCAACTGTGTCCCCTTGTTACTGTGTCCAATCTCTGGAACATCCTGTCTTTGTCCACCTTGTCAATTCCTCTCAGTATTTTGTATGTCGTTATCATGTCCCCCCTATCTCTCCTGTCCTCCAGTGTCGTCAGGTTGATTTCCCTTAACCTCTCCTCGTAGGACATACCTCTTAGCTCTGGGACTAGTCTTGTTGCAAACCTTTGCACTTTCTCTAGTTTCTTCACGTGCTTGGCTAGGTGTGGGTTCCAAACTGGTGCCCCATACTCCAATATGGGCCTAACGTACACGGTGTACAGGGTCCTGAATGATTCCTTATTAAGATGTCGGAATGCTGTTCTGAGGTTTGCCAGGCGCCCATATGCTGCAGCAGTTATTTGGTTGATGTGCGCTTCAGATGTGCCTGCTGTTATACTCACCCCAAGATCTTTTTCCTTGAGTGAGGTTTGTAGTCTCTGGCCCCCTAGACTGTACTCCGTCTGCGGTCTTCTTTGCCCTTCCCCAATCTTCATGACTTTGCACTTGGTGGGATTGAACTCCAGGAGCCAATTGCTGGACCAGGTCTGCAGCCTGTCCAGATCCCTTTGTAGTTCTGCCTGGTCTTCGATCAAGTGAATTCTTCTCATCAACTTCACGTCATCTGCAATCAGGGACACCTCAGAGTCTATTCCTTCCGTCATGTCGTTCACAAATACCAGAAACAGCACTGGTCCTAGGACTGACCCCTGCGGGACCCCGCTGGTCACAGGTGCCCACTCTGACACCTCGCCACGTACCATGACTCGCTGCTGTCTTCCTGACAAGTATTCCCTGATCCATTGTAGTGCCTTCCCTGTTATCCCTGCTTGGTCCTCCAGTTTTTTGCACCAATCTCTTGTGTGGAACTGTGTCAAACGCCTTCTTACAGTCCAAGAAAATGCAATCCACCCACCCCTCTCTCTCTCTTGTCTTACTGCTGTCACCATGTCATAGAACTCCAGTAGGTTTGTGACACAGTATTTCCCGTCCCTGAAACCATGTTGGCTGCTGTTGATGAGATCGTTCCTTTCTAGGTGTTCCACCACTCTTCTCCTGATAATCTTCTCCATGATTTTGCATACTATACATGTCAGTGACACTGGTCTGTAGTTTAATGCTTCATGTCTGTCTCCTTTTTAAAGATTGGGACTACATTTGCTGTCTTCCATGCCTCAGGCAATCTCCCTGTTTCGATAGATGTATTAAATATTGTTGTTAGGGGTACACATAGCACCTCTGCTCCCTCTCTCAATACCCATGGGGAGATGTTATCTGGCTCCATTGCCTTTGAGGTATCTAGCTCACTCAGAAGCCTCTTCACTTCTTCCTCGGTTGTGTGCACTGTGTCCAGCACTTGGTGGTGTGCCCCACCTCTCCGTCTTTCTGGAGTCCCTTCTGTCTCCTCTGTGAACACTTCTTTGACTCTCTTGTTGAGTTCTTCACATACTTCACGGTCATTTCTTGTTGACTCTCCTCCTTCCTTCCTTAGCCTGATTACCTGGTCCTTGACTGTTGTTTTCCTCCTGATGTGGCTGTACAACAATTTTGGGTCAGATTTGGCTTTCGCTGCTATGTCATTTTCATATTGTCTTTGGGCCTCCCTTCTTATCTGTGCATATTCGTTTCTGGCTCTACGACTGGTCTCCTTATTCTCCTGGGTCCTTTGCCTTCTAGATTTCTTCCATTCCCTAGCACACTTGGTTTTTGCCTCCCTGCACCTTTGGGTAAACCATGGGCTCTCCTGGCTTTTTCATTATTCCTGTTACCCTTGGGTACAAACCTCTCCTCAGCCTCCTTGCATTTTGTTGCTAACATATTCCATCATCTCATTAACTGGCTTCCCTGCCAGTTCTCTGTCCCACTGAACCCCGTTCAGGTAGTTCCTCATTCCTGTGTAGTCCCCTTTCTTGTAGTTTGGCTTCATTCGTCTGGCCTTCCTGCTTCTCCTCCACTTGTAGCTCTACTGTGTATTCGAAGCTTAAAACCACATGGTCGCTGGCCCACAAAGGGTCTTTCGTATGTGATGTCCTTGATATCTGTGTGTGTGTGTGTGTGACCAGGCAGTGTGTGTGTGTGTGTGTGACCAGGCAGTGTGTGTGTGTGTGTGTGTGACCAGGCAGTGTGTGTGTGTGTGTGTGTGTGTGTGTGTGTGTGTGTGACCAGGCAGTGTTTGTGTGTGTGTGACCAGGCAGTGTGTGTGTGTAGTTGTGAGCCTTCCATAAAGGTCTTACCTAATCTTGACAGAACTGATGAAGAATGCCAGTGATGGTACCTGGCTCGGTCTTACATACAATCAACTCACCAACTGGACCTGGTCTGACGGCCAGGACACTGACTTCTCCATGTGGGACACTAATGAACCTGATAGCGTTGAGACGGATCAGTGTGTCGTCATGACTAACGACACCAGCAGCGACTACAGCTTCAGGTGGAGAAACATTCCTTGTGAATCAATCAAGAACTTCGGCTGCGAACTCTTCCCTAGTAAGTGTTGACATTCACCATGTTGAGTAGGACATTCACTCAGTCTTTCAAGAAGCACATGTCTATAGAATGGAAGAGAATGTCTGGGTCTACATCCTCTATTCCTAAGGTAAACAAATACCGTATTTTCCGGCATATAAGGCACACGAGTATATAAGATATATTAGACTATGTTTCCAAGAGATTGTAAAGTAACGTAAGTAAACAGCTGCTACAGCGTAACCAAAAGTTTACCCTTGACCCTGACCTTAATTATATAAGGCGCAGGATAATTTGCCAAGAATTATGGAAAAAGCGCGCCTTATATGCCGGGAAATACGGTATGTCTATTGGATATAAAATGTTTGATAGTACCTCCTACCTCTAACACTCCTCTGCAGGTACTCTTCTTCCAAAACAGAGAGTTACATGTACCCCTTCAGCGGGCGGGGGATACCTTGATACTGGTGAAGAGCTCTTGGCCCAAGGGCCCAACTCGTTGGATCAACATTACCTACCATTTCATAAGTTTCTAATGCTCCCAAATATATAAATATCTGAATGTGTTTTGGTCGCTTTGCTACTCGACGAAGGTATCTCCGTATCCCATAGAGTTCAGTTCTATTGTTTGAAACAGTGACTATGGAGATGACTTCCTCGTCAGGGTGATGGACTGATCACATCATCTTTACCTCTCCACAGTTTCTGCTGTCTCCTCTGCATTCAACTGAAGAAGCCTACCGTGAAGGCGAAACGTTTCGACAATAAAGATACAAAAACTAGTGCAAATGTATCTTGCGTCTCTTTTTATTTTTCTGAGGAAGACTGTCACATTGTGCGGTGTGAGAGACTATACAGTGACTTTGAACTGACTTTGTGATTGAAGACATCATAAAAGGTCTTTGAAAAGCCGTGGTGTCCTCATCAGAGGTTGAAGCTTGACGGAAAATGTTTGACAACAGTTGATGTACATTATGCACGGTTCTGCAATAATTCGCAATGCAATGTGGCTAGGCCTGGGGACACTTGGTCCCAAAGATGAGGGGGTACTTGTACCTCCTTCCATGGGAGACTTAGGTCTCGAGGTACTCCCGAGATAGGGAGCCAAGGCCGGGTCACCACTACTTGGAAAAGACCCGGGTCGGGAGAATACCGGCGAATAAGAAAAAAAAAATGTCATCACTGACTGGCGGACAACACACTACAAGCTCTCCCGCAAAAGGAATTTGGTATAGCAATTGAGAGCAAGCTCTGAGAGACAGGAAACAAAGACTGGTTGCAGAAGTACACTCCATGTGATAGTGGATTTCCTGAACTTCGATCTCTGGTTAATGGTTTAGCACATACTGAAGATGACGGTATGAGCTGTGATCAAACTGAGAAGGTGAACTTTGAGATACGGTGCAGCATGGACAATAAACCTGTGAGTGGTGGAACCATCAAGAAAAGTAAGATGGTGTGTATATTTAATTAACTGAAACCGTGACTAAAAGTGGACAAGCAGGTGGTTCAGCTAGACCCATCAATTTGAGGATGATGGTGATATTATTCCCTATTTCTGTCTACAGTTGATCAGGCACCTTGCAAAGCACCTTCACGTCCGAGGTCATAGTGTAATATCAGCAGTGGCGATGTTCACACATTAATCGTGTCAACAGTACTGGAATTTGCCTGTAATGAACAGCCCGTTACTGGTGCTGCAGAAGACACCGACGTATTCATGTTGCTCTACCACTGGGATACTTGTAGGCTGATATCTTGCTCAGGAAGAAAAGCATGCGATCAAAGGCAGGGAAATGTACAGAATGAAGGAAGCTTACGACAGAGTGCTTATAGAGATACGGAAACACATCTTATTCATTCATGCTTGGAGTGGCTGCAACTCTACACCAGCAACACTACACCAGCAACACTACACCAGCAACATACGGTCAAGGAAAGACATACTTAAGGAGACAGCAGAAGAAGTTCACAGACGTACAAGGTTTGTCAAGCACTATCAACACGTGAGACAAGACAACAGCAGAAGTTTGTGATGCGAGAATTCTTCTTCTTTTGTTTTGTAAACTTTATGGCTGCAGTAGGCAAGGTCCACTCACAACTCGAAGGTGTACCAGACAATGATGGTCAAGAACAGCTGAATGGAACCACTTAAATTGTTACACATTGAACTTGCTGCCCCTTACCACACCTTGAGCATCCACCTCCAAGCTGCCAGATAGTACACGCATGCATCTTTATCGTGACTGATAAACATGCAGTGCCATCAAAAGTCCTAAAATTTATTCGCTGCAAGAGCATGAAAACAAGAAAGAATCCACGTCTCACATTTTTTTTTTAAATGTAAAATGGCGTGAGCATATTGTCGAGGTGAATCCTGCAACAACACTGAACCTGTCATGGTTATTGTTGACTAAACTGATGTTGTGAAGACGTAAAGAGAGCATAAAGACAGTGTCAATTCTTTTAAGCGAAAATAAAACAGTCTTAGAGGATCCATATTTAAAATCTCTGTAATTTTTTAAGCAAAAAAAGTTAACTGATGGCGGTTTTAAATGTGACTGAGACATAATTCTGCGTCAAGCGACACCAAAATCATTTTTATGAAAACTTTTTCCAGGTTCGACCCTTCTTATGCTAGACTCAAGTTTTAAATGCGTCACTAAACTCGTGGAAACTATAAACGCTAAGACACTGAGGTTTTGAATATTTCCGAATTTTTCTGCTTAACAATTACGTGAGGAAAAAACTATCAGTAGGTAGTTTTATTTCAAAATTTTTTAAAGAGTCAATAAAATTGACAGATAATTAAACAAAATTAAACAACACCAATTGTTGAATATTTGAAGCCGGACACAACAGTTAATACATAGACTTTTTCTTAATAAAAATGGCAATTAAAAATTTACGTTGTTCAAAGTGAAAGCTCATCAACACTGAAAGTTTGAAGCCTCTCAGAAAAGGCATTCTGGAGTTTTGAGACTCTCTGATCGCGGGTTCTATCCCCGCCCGTGGTATGGTTTGTTTGCAATCATGTCATTACGATTTCGTGAGACATTCTTTAGAATTTTCTGTGAATTGAAAAAGTCCACACTTTTTTTTTCTTTAACGATTTCAATACAGTTACAAATTTTGATCTAAATATTTTAAACTTCCAGTTTAAACTTCCAGTTTAAACTTCCAGTTTATCTTCTTATGTAAAACAACAGTCAATAACACCAGACATTCTGTAGTTATTGAATGGGAATCAGTATCATTATTTAATAAAACTGGCAAACTGGGACTTAGTCAACTCAGTAACAACACCAACTTTGCTTTCCAGAATACACAACATAGCTAAAAATTTGAAGCCGATCAGAAGAGTCATTCCCCAGTTATTTCACTGATTACACCAACTCCAAGTTTTATAAACTAATTTAGTACACTGGCATATTTACCCCCAGACACAAGCTAAACTTAATGGGTACCATCCTGGCCCTAAGTCACATCAACTGTTTAATATTAAAGCCGATTTAACGTTTTACAGATAAATTTAACATGTGTGTGTGCGCCCACACACCTGAATTTCACTCTCCGCCGCTGGTAATTTGGGAAGCACCTTTTTTGTAAACATTTGGAGCTATACAGCAGAGGATTTTGAAGATTATCGGAACTCTGCCAGGAGAATGGCTTCAACAACTTCGGTCATAGGGAACCAGTGCGGGCCAGTTGTTCCTAGAATATTGACCGAGATAATTACCGTGAACCACCATCGAAAATTTGAAGGAGATCGAATGAGGCCATTTAGTATTGTGCAAAAAAAAATATCACGAAAAGATGGAGGAAGACAAAAGAATTCTGGCAACTATTTGGAGGTCCACCTTCGGGGATACCTAAGTAGCTTCCGTTGATACCTAAGTAGCCTCCGTTGATACCTAAGTAGCCTCCGTTGATACCTAAGTAGCCTCCGTTGATACCTAAGTAGCCTCCGTTGATACCTAAGTAGCCTCCGTTGATGCCTAAGTAGCCTCCGTTGATACCTAAGTAACCTCCGTTGATATCTAAGTATCCTCCGTTGATACCTAAGTAGCCTCCGTTGATACCTAAGTAGCCTCCGTTGTTACCTAAGTAGCCTCCGTTGATACCTAAATATCCTCCGTTGATACCTAAGTAGCCTCTGTTGATACCTAAGTAGCCTCCGTTGATACCTAAGTAGCCTACGTTGATACCTAAGTATCCTCCGTTGATACCTAAGTAGTCTCCGTTGATACCTAAGTAGCCTCCGTTAATACCTAAGTAGCCTCCGTTAATACCTAAGTAGCCTCCGTTAATACCTAAGTAGCCTCCGTTAATACCTAAGTAGCCTCCGTTGATACTAATAAGCACCTCGTTGATACCTAAGTAGCCTCTGTTGATACCTAAGTAGCCTCCGTTAATACCTAAGTAGCCTCCGTTGATACCTAAGTATCCTCCGTTGATACCTAAGTAGCCTCCGTTAATACCTAAGTAGCCTCCGTTTTGGTACCTAGTAGCCTCCGTTGGTACCTAAGTAGCCTCCGTTAATACATAAGTAGCCTCCGTTTGGTACCTAAGTAGCCTCCGTTAATACCTAGTAGCCTCCGTTGATACCTAAGTATCCTCCGGTGATACCTAGTAGCCTCCGTTAATACCTAAGTAGCCTCCGTTAATACCTAAGTAGCCTCCGTTGGTACCTAAGTAGCCTCCGTTGGTACCTAAGTAGCCTCCGTTGATACCTAAGTAGCCTCCGTTGATACCTAAGTAGCCTCCGTTGATTCCTAAGTAGCCTCCGTTGATACCTAAGTAGCCTCCGTTAATACCTAAGTAGCCTCCGTTGATACCTAAGTATCCTCCGTTGATACCTAAGTAGCCTCCGTTAATACCTAAGTAGCCTCCGTTGGTACCTAAGTATCCTCCGTTGATACCTAAGTAGCCTCCGTTAATACCTAAGTGGCCTCCGTTAATACCTAAGTAGCCTCCGTTGGTACCTAAGTAGCCTCCGTTGGTACCTAAGTAGCCTCCGT